GTAGATCCACCACAGAGCACCTTGTTCGTATCGAGGCACAGATCAGAGACGCCTTCGTCCATAAACAATATTTTCTCTCTGTGTTCCTCGATATCGAAAAGGCTTAGGATACAACATGACATTTTGGAATTCTAAGAGATCTGCCCCACCTTAGCGTGCGCGGAAGAATGTTTCACATAATCGAAAGTTACCTGTCAAACCGGACATTCCGTATCCGAGTGGGCACGGTTCTTTCCCAAACATTTGTCCAGGAAACAGGCGTGCCACAACGTGGTGTACTTAGCTGCACACTTTTTCTCATCAAAATGAATTCCTTGCGCTTGTCCATCCCTCGCAATGTTTTATTGTACATATGTCGATGACGTGCAGCTTGGCTTTAGATCTTGCAATCCGGCAATGTGTGAGCGGCAGGTTCAGTTAGGTTTAAACAAGGTCTCCAAATGGGCAGAGGAAATCGGATTCCGACTGAACCCACAAAAAAGCACGCGTGTCTTGTTCTCCTGAAAGAGAGGCATGCACTCAGAACCCGACATTGAACTCAATGGTCAACGTCTGTCTGTTAATGTGGAGCATAAATTCTCAGGCTTAATCTTGGACAACAAGTTGACCTTCGTACCGCACATCAAGTATTTAAAAACAAAATGTTTAAAAGCCATGAATGTTTTAAAAGTGTTGTCACGTACTACGTGGGGTAGTGACAGGCAATGACTCATGAATCTGTATGGAAGCCTCATTCGCACCCACTTAGATTATGGGGCCATTTTTTATCAGTCTGTGACTCAAAGCGCTTTGAAGATCTGGACCCCGTGCACCATTTGGGCATCCGCCTTTCTATGGGTGCTTTTCGCACCAGCTCCGTAGAAAGCCTTTTTGTTGAGTCAAATGAGTGGTCGCTTCATCTGCAGAGAACTTACATGTCCTTTGTTTATTTCCTTAAGGTGAAAGCAGACAAGAATCACTCCTCAGACTCTACTATTAATGATTTGTCGAGCTCCATTCTGTTTCGAAACAGGCATTCGATGAGGGCTCTAGCTGAGGGTCTAGCTGAGGAAGGGTCTAGCTGAGGTAATTGGAGTGTAACTTGAACACAGTTTAATGGCTTCTGTAGCATACCCGCCACCGTGGCAGTGGCAGGCTATAGACTGCGATGAGTATTTTCTAGAAATTACAAAACATGCGCCTATTGTCCATATTCGAGCATACTTCCTGGAACTTCAACACAAATACACACGTCCTGAGTTCTTTACAGATGCCTCCAACTCTAACTCCTCTGTGTCCTACGCTGCTGTTGGCCCATCCTCTTCCGATGCCGGCCCTCTACAACCAGGCACAAGTATCTTCACAGCGGAAGCTTATGCGATACTTTTGGCGGCGAAACACATCAAGCAATTAGAAATACCAAAAGCAGTAATTTATACAGGCTCCTTCAGTGTGGTAACTGCTCTGCACACTCTTCAAAAACAAAAAAACCCAGTCCTTGTCTCACTTTACTCCATTTTATGCACACTCAAACACTATGTTGTAGTGTGCTGGGTGCCAGGGCACCATGAGATCCAAGGCAACGTCAGGGTGGATCAGCTCGCTGTATCCGTCCACAAAAGCACTGCCCCCTACACCCATATCGATCCCGGCCCTGTTAAGTTTGGCCTGGAAATTCGTCTGGGCAGACGCCATTGTGCGTAAGCCGGTCTACTGGGGAGGCTCTCAATCCCTTCGGCGCCCAGTCTGCCAGATGCTGTCGAAGATTTGAGCAATTACCCAGACCATGTGGCAAGCGAAGGCGAGTTCCTGACTTTCAGCTACGGACCCTTTCGTCGTCTCTTCAAGCAGAAGCGATGACTGATGCCCTCGGCGACTCATCTGGCGATGGGGAAGCTGTTGTGACCGGCGCCAGAGCTGACGGGGGAGCGGCGCTCTTTTAATCCTCAATCAAGTAGCCGACCGGCCGGCTGCCTATGCTTGTCAGGCATTGTCCCTGCTAGCCGGAGGATGAGACGTCGTGTCGCCACGACGCCGTTAACCGTTCGAGAGAGGACAACAAAGACAGCATCTTCCTGGAAGAGACCACCGCGGCCACCACAAATCACCCCGCTAATTAGGCGAGCTGTGCGGCAGACCCTTTGATGTATGCTGTCAGGATCTTGGGACATCTCGACTAGCGGCACACACACGACGAGGAAGAGCCCCACTGGCGCCACCTTGCAGTGCAGTGATCACGACTCAATAATGGACGTTCACGTGGACCGTGCATGCTCATCCCCCTCACCTGTTGTGTGCGTGTGATTGGTGTTCCACTCGGAGAGGAGGAGCCCGACAGGGCTTAAAACGACGCCGCAGAGTGCTGGACGTCGCTCTGAACTATGTAACGTTCAACCACCACGCTCGTGGTTTGGGAAACCCCTAACCTTTCTTTGCTGTAAATATGTGTAAATAGTGCCATGAACCTGTTTGTTTTTCGTATCCCCTTCTTGTCAGCGTTCGTTTCCTCCACCCCTCCACCCGGTTACACCACGCTACCACAAGAGACCGAGTAGTCCCCCATCCCTTACAGCCCTTGATCTTAAGCCATCTCTGAAACGAAACCTCAGGAACTACTGGCAGAGCAAGTGGGCTAGACACACACAAAACAAACTACACATTATTCAGTCACACCTTGGTCATTCGCTGCTAGTATCAAAATCGCGTCATACAGAGGTAATACTAACGAGGCTCAGGATAGGACACACATACACGACACACACATATCTTTTGTCCGGTGGCGATCCACTATTGTGTGACAGATGTGGTGAAGCATTGACAGTCCTTCACATGTTAGTCCGGTGCAAACAGTTAGAAACTCTAAGAAAACAACATTTTCCATTACACTACCGACAGCATATACCTTTACAACCTGCAATGTCCGTCGGTAGGGAACCGCTTTTTAGTCATAAATCATTGTTAACGTTTTTAAAAGAAATTCATAGTTTTCATATCATATACCCAGGCATTCCGTAGCACCTCTCCAGAGAGGTTTTTGCTGCGGTGGCTACACAAGAAAGCACTTGCCTCACGGCCGTTGTACGCAAGGGTATGAACGAGTGAGGCACTTGTTCTAGTGCCATACATGTCCACCGTCGTTTTTTTATTATCACCAACTTTTGTCATCTATTCACACCACACACACCTTTCATGGCATGGTCACGATTTATTACTTGTATGTCTTTACCCGCCTTACCGCGAGATATTTATGGCCCTTATACAGCCGCTTATCACAATCATTGCCCATATTTTTAGTAAGATGAACCGGTGCTCTTTGGCCGTGAAATGGTCCTTGTGCCACAAAACATCAAACATCATCATCATTGAAATGTTGTGCATTCTAAAACAAAGGAATGTTTCAATACCTCAAATATAGACACCGTTTGTACCCTTGATAACGGTTCAAACACAGCGATGATCAATAAGGGACGATTAGTTGCCGTTTTAGACATTCCTACAAAATTTCCTACAAATTCCTACAAAATTTCGCATCCGCCATTTTGTCGCATCCGAACGGCTCGCATGGCTGCCAGTGACCCACTTTCACAGGCTCAATGTACTGCACAGCAGGATTCAGCAATACCTGTTTCTCCGATAATCTACGTCATGAAATCAGGACGGCCTTACTTTCCTTGTCTTGGGTCCCGCCTTCACTTGGTTTCTTAGTACTAGCGTACGCACATGCAAGGTGACATCATGGCGATGCCCACCAGAGACGCGTTGAAAACGAGATGGATCACCCGCACACATTACCTCAAAGAGCGTGTGTCGCGAAGTTAGTTGGCAAGACATTACTTTGATGGCACCGCGGACGCGACACCCGAGAAGAAGCAGTTCATCCTTCGTTCTTTCTGTATCGTACTCTACTCTGTCGTCCCCAGTGCAGTTTAAGTTGTCAGAAATATTGCCGTAAGATATATTTGGAAATTTGAGAGAAAAGAAATGCGAAAGGGAAGCAAATCAAGGATAAACAGTGCCACATGCTTGCCACGTCAGCCATATAGTGGGCCAGATAACCAGCCATTGGAATCACCATCTTTCAACGACAGTAATACGCTTGGAATCGACCACGAAGTAACATCCCGGACAGCGTAGATTTGTCGCGTGCTGTGTCCCTCTGTCGGTGACTAAGTCCTTTATCGCCAACATAATGTGTAAACTAGAAGCCTTCCTTCCCACTCTCTCTATCCCACCCTCTCACACCTAAACTATACTGTCAATCTGTGCACGCACCTCCTGCCCTCCGCGGTCTCCTGATGCCGTGTAGCTCTCGCATTGTGGCACCCCGCCCTTGGACTGCTTCGACCGGATCCCCACTTTCCTATCTCCTTCTTTTTCCTCTCGTTGGCTGTCTTCTTCTGCTTCTACTTTCCTTCTATTCTTTTTATCCCTCCTTCCCCCCACCCCTATAAGGCACTGCGCCGTGTCGCCTGAAGGCAGACAGAAATTAGGTGCCTTTTTCCTCTTCATTGTAACCACTACCACCATCACAACTGAATGACTCTTAGCCGCCGTCCCTTATCTCGCCAGTGAAAACACAATGAGCCCCCGGACCGACGTCATGTCGGATACGCGCAATGTCCTCCGCGATTCCCGCGTACCGAATACACAGCTCGGTTAGAGTAAGATGTTGTCACCATCCCGTCCCGCGGTTGATCACACACATACCACTCGCGGCGGAACGCATATGGAACGGCAGAATAAAAAAAAAAAAAGAGAAAGAGAAAAAGGAGCAGGGGTCGCGTAGCAGCAGGGTCTTGCCCACGCAAGCATCCCGTAGATGCTGCTGCTAGAGTTCTGGTCGGTGCCAATTAACGGTGACGGGGAGGGTGGGGAGGGCTTCGCCACACGCTCATGGGCCCTTCGAGCACTGGCTTGGTCCGATACGCGGATTCCGGTGCCGTATCCGGTTTGGCTCGCAGATTGGACCGCTGTCTTCCGGTCGGAACTGGGACCGCTTCTGACGACCCGGACATGCGGAATAAGCAGCGGCGAGAGTGCCCGGCGCGCGCGGGAAACGGAGTCGCGTTCGCAAATCGAGTCGTAAGAAGGTTTGAGCGTCGGTGGAGACCCCGTAAAGGAACAAGCGCACGAAGCCCGCAATCATGCGAGCGTTCTGGATTTTCGGTGTCGCGTTGCTGATACAGACACTGACGCATGTGAAGACTCAGCGGTATTCAGGTCAGTGTATGCTTACGGGCGACCGTCTTGGGGAAATTTGTTGTATAGGTGATACACGAAGCAATATGTGCGTTGATGCGAGATATATTGAACCCTTTTTGCACGTGGCTTACGCTATTGTCCATTGTAGGACTTTGTTGCAGACACCGGGACACCCTTACAGTGCCCCGTTCATGTAATTAAGTCTAAAAAGACGACAATCAATGTGTTACTGCACACCACAAGAAATTGTTTGGTTATTCTTAACTTCTGCTAGGTCTAGCGGTACTTGAAACTAGAATCAATTAGGAAAACAATGTATGTGAGACTGTCAGTTTCTGCAAAAGGAGACTCACTTGGTGGATTCTGTGCTGAATGGTTGTATCATCCGCTATCTTCGACGCCAGCGCAGCTCTCGCCGATGGCCCGCCATCCGCGATCTCCTGGACACCGTATAGCTCTTGCCGATCGGTGCCCCGACCTCGGTCTCTTTCGACCATGTCCCAAACTTTCTTTATTGATCTTTACTTCTCACTATATTCCTTTTAATCAGTCTTTATCCTATTTCCCTAGTGAGCTACTACCGAAGTGTCGCACTTCGCTGCAGACTAGAGTGCCTCGATGCCCGCATCGAGGCATCCTATTGCAGACAGTTGCGGGGCTCACTTTTCTCTTCTTTTCATCTCTTACAAAACCACTCCCCCCATTCTGCGCTTCCCCTCAGTTACTGCAACACACCCTTTTCGTGATACTGTGCTGCTTTCTGCCGTTTGGTAGGATTTTGGGTGGAGACCACGACAGCTGCCATTTCCAGAGTGAAAGCCTCCGAGATAAAGCTGTGTTTCGATACCAGTTCACTAGGAGACGGGTGCATGCGCGGTGGCATCGTGACAGAGATAGACTGCGGGCTGATATCTGAAGGTTGAACTATCGGCTTAGCATCCATCAATCGGCCACAACGAGTCGGCCATAAATCGTTTGTCGCGCATAATGCGACTTACTATAGCCTTAATTCGAGCTGCAGCGTTTCAGCACGGCCTTCAAGTTGATGATTAGGAGGGGGTCGTATAAGCGGCGAGACGCACTGCTATCTCGATAGTAACGTATTTTTTGTTTTATACGCATTAGCGTAAAAGAGCTCGTGTCGCAGAAAACCCGCTGCCGGCGTCAGCCCCCTTAAGTTGTGAGCAAAAAATCAAGTTACTGAGATAGCCGCAAATGCTGCTCCTGGTCCACGTGCGCACATCACACTGAAAAAGCCGTGCATTTGAAGAAAAAAAAGTGCTCAGGGTCACGAAGTGCGGTTGTTCTCTCTTTTTTTTTTTGCCTTGCCACCCCTTCCTGCTTAGTTTCCAGCGCTTTCGTCGGGAACAGAGAAGCAGTAATGCAATTGCAGCATGCGACAAACCTTTGTAACTCCACTCGCATTGGACGAATTCTTAGTATTTTCGCGGTGTTGAATTCGTGAGGCAATGAGCTATTGTAGTGAATTCGTTGCATGGTTACTTGAAAAAGTGTTTCGGAGCCCCTTTAACGCATTTTGCTCGGCAGGTGTCACGATGAAAACAAGCCCATTCGGCGATAATAGCGCGCGCTAGTCCAGTTGACTGTGTCATCATCAGTGAAAGTATGGGCCCTTAAGCAAAGAGTTCTTTGTGAAACTCAGTCAATTAACTGCTGACAAGCGTCTACAGTTGAAAAGTTTTTGATATTTACCGCTTCACGGATTATTACCCATGAATAAATATTTACCTCACCTCAAACTTGGGTGAGGCTAAATACTTGAAGCCGGTGTACTTAGATCAAGTGCACGCCAAAAAACACCAGCCGGCCAATTCGGGAGCCATTCACTACCGCGTCCTCTAAATAATAATGTGGTTCTGGGACACAAAACATTAGCCACGAATATATCTTGTTATTAAACTTCTGCTTGAGGATACGTTAGTCTCATGAGAAACGTTTGCCACAGCTGAGCTCGCGATTACGGCGGCACTAAACTTGAATTATAAAGTATATCCGTGTGAGTTTTACGTCCCCAAATCGCGGCATGATTTATGAAGGACCCTCCGTCTAAATGCGGCAGCCGGGGCCACACTTATACTCCGCAATCTTTGGGTCAGCTGTCGAGTACCATGGTTACGAGAACGACGCGGCGGGAAGAAGCTGGAAAAATAACACGTATTCAATGGAAGCGTCGCTAGGAGAACTCATCTCGGGCAAATATCGCGTCCGCTATGCGGGCATCTTTTTCTCCCTTTATCGCCGGTGACGTGCACGACATGCACGCATGATGCTCGGATTCGAAGCGCACGTGACTGCTTCAGCATGCCACGCCGTGCCACACGCACAAAAACAGAAGAATGAAGAAAAAAAAGATAAAAAACATTTTGTGTAGCAACCTACCCAGGATGAGACGTTGCCTTTGTGTGACGGCGCTCACCACCGTATTCCAAAAAACGTCCCTTCACTGAACGCTTCACCCTTGACTCGAGAAAGTCGATGGGAGCGCCGTCTTTATATGTAGAACGAGTCCCAGCGTATCAGCGATATCATTTTCAAACGAGCAGCGGTGCTGTGCTCAGCTCGGTCAATTGAAGGAGTAACTTTGAATCGAGGCTTGTGTGAATATACATGACTTAATCACGCCAGCGGTTTCTGCTAGCGACGCAGCACGTACGCCTGCAGAGCCACGCATGTATATGTGCTTGCATGGAGGCACACGTCCTAGCGCGACAGCCTACGTGAAAAACTACCGCTACGACAGGTATACGGTAAGTAATATGCACAAATATATTGTAGAAGCAACGACATGGAGCGGAAATGCACTCATTTGCATTTATGGCAAAAATGAAGGCTTATACTGCCACTTCAGCGAGCTTCTCATTGTCAGCATCCCAAGTTCGCAGAAGCGCCAAGTACCGCATCTGATTCCTGTGTCCGGAACATGTGCCGATGCCTGATCGTCAAACAATTAGGACGAGTATTTACGTGGAAGTTTCGGCATCCCCCCTTTTTTTCGCTTTAATGAAATGCCACAGTCCCAATAACCCCGTGCAGTGGTCAGCTTCAGAATAGTTTCAATATCTCACTGTACTATATCTGCTGTTCTATGCGTAGGACCCATGATTGGACTACGAAGTTGACTTTGGTGTTCTTTGACGCGTACTGATGCCGCATAGTATGCACGGGCCTCTATCGAATTTCGTCTGCATAACTGCGATCTCAACGGCAGTAAATGTCGCACAGTGGTAACTGCTAGTAGACCGAGAATCAATTTCATTTTCTCATGATGTACCGCAACGTTGTGTTTTGTGGCATGGGTGCTATGATGTCATAACGCAGTAGGTTGTTGCTTGGAAGGCGAACATCGCGTCGCAAGGTCTCATAGGGCATGTCGTCGCGAAAGGTCACTTTTGTCGCAAGGCGATTGCTTTCGCTCGCTGCTGCATTTTTTCTGTCACGCGTCAGCAGTTGCAAACCTCTTAACCAACCAGATGCAATGGGAGAGGACGTGAGTTTGTTTACCGTGGTAATGGGGGTGCAAACTGACCTGAATTTTACGAGCGGGACTTTGATTTGGGCGAGTTGGTATACGGTACACGTTCTTAGCTGGGGAAAAAGGGCGCGAAAAGGACGAGCCCACAGAAACACAGCACACGTACGGGTGCTGAATTCTACATGGACGACGGGTACAGCTACCGCGTTGTTCAAGTGGTCATCAGTCAGTTAGTACCGCGCACGACGTCCAAGAGATCCCAATTGATTGATTGATTGGTTAAAACAACTTAATTAGAGATCCCGAGCCTGTAGAACAACGTCGCGATGAGTTCTACAACGGAGCCCACTTCGGTGCAATGATGACATTCAGACTCGGATGTATACTGTGGAAAGCCGGACTGATGTTACATGTGTTTTCCCCGACAGATCTCGAGGATTTTCATCACTACGCGCGGCCTGTACGCCAAGCATGGTAAGCTTCTCTTCGTTATTACTGTTTCACATTATTCGTTTTTTTCCCTTGCTGTTCATTTCACGTATATTACTTCATTTTGTGGGTGTACTAACATCTTTACCTATCGCTTACGGGTTACATATTTCGAACCACTGGCACGAGAAACGCCAGGATAAACGATAACTGGAAAGAAAACACGCAAACAGCAACACACAAAAATCGAAAGGAAAAAAAATAATGAAAGTTGTACTTACATAAGCACCAGGTGGACGTCGGGGAGTCGGCATGCAAAGAAACAGGGTGCCCGCCGCAACGTTCAATGCCGCACCATAACTAAGAGAAAGCGATTGAACAACAGCAGCGAAGTAGAAACAATATGAACAAGAAGCTCCTCACCAACAACAACGAAGCAACAGCCGGAAAACAAGCTACAGCCCTCCACGTTTGGAACGCCAGACCGCTTCGATCTGTTGGTACACACCGAAACGACGAATGCTGTCCGGAATATGGCGGCACACACGACAGAGAGCCGTGTACCTTTACTGTAGCGCGCGGTGCCGATCGTTAAAACAGTGAAACGCTGTAGGGAAGTGGCTACGTTAATTGAGCCAGAGTTCCAAAATGTTATGGGCGGTGGAAGGAGGCCGTACAAATAATCTCTTCAGCCGATGCACCGTGGTGTAAGTCCGCTTGCAAAACAAGGAACAAGCAAAGCACACTCACATGAATAGAGCAGAAAAAAGTGAACGCACGAAGGCGCTGTTAAATCAGACGCAGTTATAATTTCACTTCTTATAGTCGAGTGATGCTATATTCGACAGAGGACAACGTCGGAAGTAGCAGACTTATGTACTTTCCAATTTAAAGCTCTGAACTGCAGCACTTCTTCTCATGTCGGGAAACTTGAGTGTGTCGTCGTTTAGGTCTGAAAGATGACATAAGATAAAATTATGGAGCACTTTGTGTATGTGCGTGTGTGTGTGCTTGTGTGTGTGTGCGTGTGTTATTCGGTAATCGCGTTGCAACATACTTGCATAGAACGGACACACCTCAACACGGAGCACAGAAGTAGCAGACTTATGCGCTTTCATTTCTTAGATGCGAAGCATCTTGTAGGCGAGCTTGATCCGGTGGCGTCCGCGCCCCACTGCGCATGCGCGTCTCCTCCCCTTTTTTCCTCCTCTTTTATGCTCCCCCTCTGTCGACTCGCAACATCGACGCAGGCCGCGTCTGCTAGCGAGTTTCACACCTCTCGTGCAGCGCAACCGTTCACTGGCCACCCCGTATATGCAGGCACTGGATTCTGACCTCCAAGGTTCAATCATCAGTGTTCATTCAATGAACTTAATACAAAAGTTGTTACAAAGTATATGCATCATTAGCCTGTGTGGCTAGTCACTGGTCCAATCCAATACATGAACATTTTTACATGTCAGGAGCAGAGGAGCACATGATATGATTATGAATCTATACAAGTTCAATCATTGTGTAGTTTCTAAGGTATTTTATATTTAATGAAACGCACATTACAATGAATACGAAATTGCTGTGGTACCCGAAAAAAAGTGCAGAATTTTCGCATAAGGCTGCGTTGAAGAATAAATAACAGACGAACTTGCATTAGAACAAAGAAGAAAAAAACAAGAAAGGGAGAGATATGTTCCTGGTGAGACATAAAGAAAAATCATGGACGTGATCTTCACTGTGGTCAACAACATGACTGATTGACAACATGTATTTTGCAAGCTCGAATTAAAATTGCGGGCAAGTTTAACTTCAATAGGAATCATGTTCCAAGTTTTAGCACCATGCAGCGAACTGAATTAACCATTCGCCCTATACATTCCTACAATTCGGAAGGTTAAAGTTGCCATTGCCTGCGTGCCTTGTGTTGCGCGTAGCTGCAGAAAACGTATACTCACATGTAGTGGAAAGTTGGTGTTAATGACTGAATTTATCGATACCGCGGTTTTATAATTTCGCTGAGACGTGAAAGGCAGTATCCGAGTAGAGGAAAACAGATCCGAGCTTGTGGTAGAATAAGACGTAATGATGGTAGAGGAGACGTAGTACCGGTGGGAGATTTGTCCTGTGCGTTGTGTAAGAGTAAAATTTCGCAGCGTGCGCGTTAACTGAAAGTTGGCTGCGAGTCTCTCTGCCCCAATCGGACTCTTCTGTCTCTCATTGCGCATTAGCAATGATCGGCATGTTCCAGTAGAAAACACGGGTTCATCAAAGCGTGCTTTGCACCTTCCCAGATTTCTCTCCTGCGCAACGCCGCGATGGGCGCCAACGTCAACGCCACCGACAATGTATAAGCGTTAACACCCGTTGTTTCGCATCTTCGCATGGCTTCCTTCAGTGGGAGATGGTTCTCGGCTCTCCGTGGTGGTGGTGGGGGGAGGGGGAAATGGTGGTAGCATTTCATAACGCGTTCTCCGGGATAACGCTAAACCTCCGTAGCCCTGCAGTGGAAGATTGTCTTTGAAACGCTCTCAGTATCATGTTTCCTGCCGGCGCAAAGTGGCATTAACGCATATTATCAGGGAACCAAATTCGGCACGTGGGTGGCAGCCGGCATCCACCGAATTTTGGCCTAACACAGTGATAGTGTTCGTCACCACCGGTATCTTGAACTGAATCTGCCGATTCCCCGGCATCGGCTCTGTGGTGCAGGATGCATTGTCGCCGAAAAGCCGTTAGGAAGAAAAAAAAAGAACTGTTAGGACGTTTGTTGTAAAAACTGCGCATTTCGCTGCGAGTTCTATGGAATCTCGAAGTCGGGAAAAATTACAGCATACCCACGGAGTAAATGATGGTGAGTGAGGCGAAGCGTCTGTGGATACGCTGGGCTGGCTACGCCAGAAAGATGGGCTGCCATATACAATAAGAATCTTCAGCTCTAAAGAAACAAAAACGCTATTTATAGTGAACTCTGATATCGTTTTTATATGCCTCAGCTCTTCTCAATAGTAGTCTTGTACCTGTTCTTCTCGTACTTTTTACGTAAATTAAAAGTCCCCTACAGGTTCAATTCTGGGGTTATATTCTGTAGGTGTTCGTTTGGTGGACACGTCCATTTCGGGGGATTGCATTCAGTTTCTCGAGGAAGGTGTGAGCCGTGACGCCGTCGCGCACTTCAACGCGTCGACGCATCAAACCCGTTCAGGAGAATCTCGGCGTAAGAAGCTAAATTAGCGTACGAAACAACGGAGCACTCGAGCATATTTGACAATACTGTCCTTGCATGCGTGTCTCCGATGCTTCAGAACGATGCAGGGAATTCGTACCGAGCTTAACTGGCGTGTTCGAGGACTATACCATGATCTTATAACCAATGATTATGCGTGGCCTTCGAAAGTTGCGCGGCGAAAAGCGGATCTCTAGAGACTGCGTGAGTTGCGTTGAAGCTCGTTCTGTCCCTCTTATTTGTGTCGAGAATCCTCCTTTGCCTCGATTCTGCAGCGCATGCGCCCTTCCAAAGCGGTAAAGTGGCGTAAAGTCCCCTCTCCCCAATCTCCCTTTAAAGGGCCGCTCACCAGGCCCTATACCAAATTTTAGTTAGGCAGTGGAAGTTGGTGGGTGCCCGATGAGGAACATTTTGCCACAAAAATTTTTTGAATCGGTTCATCTCGAGCGGAGAAAACAGGTTTTTTGAAGCGGCGCGAAACGAGGATGAGAGGAGGCGAGCTCGAAACCCTCGCCGCTCCTCCGCGTAGCCTTCGCAAGCCAAAGCTCTTCTCCACTCTAACTGGCATCCGACCAAGAGTTGACGCGCGCATGACGTGCCCAAACAAGTCCAACCCCCGAGCACGCGAGCGGCGTTGCTTTGTTGACCAGCGTTATTTTGTGGTCTTCTGCCTGTTTCTGCAGAATCGTTTGGAAGCGATAGCTTAGACGTGGTAGAATATATGAGCACAATGAGTGCGCGAACGCGTAGGAGCGTTCCACGGCCGTCGTCTGCACCATGCGCTGACCGCAGGGACATGAACGCATGCGAAACGCCGGCACTTTAGCCCCTGATCTCGTTGCAATCCGTGGGAGAAAAATGGAAAAAAGACGCTCACATTCTCTTATTGCGTCTCATTATTTATCTAGAGTTTTATTGATCTTTTCAAGCAACAAATTAGATAAACTACTTAATCGACGTAGCGCGTTTTGAAACATAGGACAGGGGAAGGGACAGAACCTTCCCCTATGTGAAACATAGGACAGAACCTGTCCTATGTTTCAAAACGCGCTACGTCGATTAAGTGTGTCTTACCAACATGCCCAACTTTATACTGTAGATAAACTACACGTGCCGTCCTGAATAATTTTTGCCTTATCACGTGCCACTGTCTGCAACGTCAGAGCAGAGGCGTCTACGTAGAAGACCAACGTCACTGCATTGCTGTGTACTTAGGGCCATTCATACTAAAGTCCCTGAAAAATAATTTTTCAGGGACTTTAATTCATACGCGCACGTCATGCCCTCATTCTCTAGGCGCGCGCCTGCAGAGGGGAGGGGGAGCAGCGTTCATCTTGAAATTTGACCCGATTCCGCGGCACGTAGCATTGCAAAGTTTGGCAGACGTGATCATGAACGACTCGTCTACGCATTGCGCTTGTCTGCTCAAAATTGTCAAACCTTCAAGACGATTACACCCGGCCTCCTACGTAATCGCCTTGAAGGGGAGGCGGTCTCTATCTGGCCGCCGATTCTATATCACCAATGACTGGTTCTTTTGGAAGTATAGAGGCTGTGGTTGCTATCGCTCCCGCTTGAACGCGCTACAAGCAGCCGCCGGAGCGCGTGGGCCTCGCGTGTTCCCTTTCATAAAAAATTGACATCGTACATCTTATAAAAGGACCTGTCTCGCTATGGTTGAACATATTTTTCATATCTCTAGGGCGAATGTGTCGTGAATGAATGAAATTGAACTTGATAACACCCGACGTATTTCCGCTTTCTTATCTGTTGCAGTGTCGTTACTTGGAGGCATTCGACCGAGCCGGTCGAGCTTGGTGTCTGCTCGATGCGTGAACCCTCGGCTCTACTTTCGCAATGGCCTCACAAGACTGCGCTTCCGAGGTCGCGTCGTGAAGTACATCTGCCGACCGGGCTACACTCTGATCGGCGACTCAGTGTCCACGTGCAACGCTGGACGATGGGACAGGCCCGTACCCATATGCGCAGGTACGTCCGGGGCTGCATGACCTAATGGTAATGTAATTATTATAATTGTACGTCCCAAAACCACGATATGGTTATGATGGACGTCACAGAGGAGGGCTCTGAAAGTTTTGTCCATACAGCATTTTTGACACGGGCCTAGAGCATTTTCGCGCCGGTGTTCGATTCTGCGACCTTCGGGTCAGCGGTGGCATGACGTAACAGCTTGACCACCATGTGGGTGTAGCAGAGCTTGATAACATTGCATTTGTACAATTGCACTTCTTCACCACCCTACCAACTGTGACCTGGCTATATACTGTGGCCTCATTATGGCATTCCTCACAACTACATTGCGGCTTTAAGACATAGAAATTCGAACAATATAAAAAAAGTGTAAGATGACCTTAATGTCGTGAATGGGCAAAAATGAGCAACCACACGTAGTTGCCATGGGCAATTGAACATGGGATGGCAGGATGGCAAGTTAGCACCTTTCTCCACGTTTTCGACAATCGAGAGAGGGGCCAAGCTACGCGCGATGAAGTAAGTGACTCTTAAATGAAAAGAAGGGAAAACTGAGCCCCGTAACTGTCTCTCAGGGGGAGGACACCTCAACAGTAGCTCACGAGGGATGGGGGTAAGGAGGAATCAAAAGGTATAGAGAGAGTGGAAGGAGAGAGCGAGGCGCAGAGGGCAGCCACATACGGAAGTAGGAAGAAGATAGGAAAGATGGACATGGTCGCAGCAAACTGGAAGAGTGCCTTCACCGTGATGTTTTCATGGTACCGAAACGCTATCATACCTGAGACGCACTTACGTCTTCAGAGGCGCACAGTTCGTTTAGCCGTTATCAAACGAAAGCAAGCGAATGCAATGGCGTGCGCATTCTTCCTCGTACTTTCCGGAATCACAGTGGGCTGTGTTCTGCCAACAGTTTCTTTCATAAATTCACGGCGAAATTGCGTCAGATGCTTCGTCAAATGCGAGCATTGGCCGTCAGCAGTGTCAACGCAAGTGTAAAAAAAGTTATGACATATTGACGTCACCACAACACGTCATTATGATTACGTCACCGCATGAAAGGGTCGCTCGATCACAGGAGCAGTGCGAAACCATGTCAAGCGCAGAAATATTTCGTAGAGGGTAGGGGGAGGGGGGGCAGGAACAATACACTTACCGAAACGAACAAGATGGTTTTGGCTTTCATGTTCTCTGAGGCGGATTCCTAAAAGAACCCGCGAGTTCTCTTATCACTGAAAGAGGTTTTAATAAATAAATATGCCAACTGTGACAAAAAGATTGTGGAATGATTGGCGTGTCACCGTGGCTGTTCATTTTGTTGCGACAAACTTGGAAAAATTCTTGCTTATGATTTAAATGGCAAGTGGCCTTTAGTCAAAAAAAAAAGGTTGCTTTCGAATCTTGGTCGACATTTCTGCGAATAATGTATGATACAGCCTTGCTGCCTTTTAACAACTGATTGCTACATCACTTGAAACAAATAACGTTTGAAAATAGGAATACCTGCAAAGAAACGTCGTAATTAACGTTATTCTTTTCTCGCACTTCTAGTCAACCCTAGTTCCTTATAAACGGGACGATGCCGTTGGTGAATAACTGAATACCTTTAAGGTCGATTTTTTTATGCGTAGTATTTCTCTTCGTGGAACACGTTATGATGAAACTGGAGATTCTTGCCCCGAGGAGCCACCTTAATGTCTCTCGAGGGAGACAAGTCCGCTTGCCAAAGCGTCGGCTCGACGCAGCCCCTGTTCACAGATTTTTCGTCTCTTGAACATAGTGTCACGAATGGATGATAATTAGAAGAAACGAACTTTTCACGTTTTATTTATGCACTGTATTGAGATGTAACACGGGTATTTGAAAACGCACCTTCATTATTTACGAGCTGTTTGTACGCGGGGGACAAGCTACATTAACACATTAAAGTTAAACTAATCCACCCAAAACAGTTTTTTGTTCAAAATTTCATTCTGTCCCATTCATTATTGAAGCGGTATTCGCTAATACTGTAATGGTGTGTCGTGTCAGCGCACGTAATCGATTATTTAATCTTCCGATGTACGAGCAATTCTACGTGACTTGACCGTCCTGTGTCAGAGCCCGCTATAGCACAAAGCCATCTAAAATGAATGATCGGCGCAAGTTTGTGATCAATCATACCAAGCTTGATTACAAATTCGGAAAAGTAATGATGTACGAATAAAAGCACGCTGGTTATCCGATTATATGAATTAGCAAGTAAAGAAATTGATTAAAAAAGATAGCGAAAGGTTAGATAGGACAGGCGTCCATCGCCCGTAACTTTACCTGACTATTTTTTGCGCAAGCAATACTTTTCGAGAAATCAAACTTTATTGTGTCACGTTTGTGAATTTTTAGTACGAATGTTGGCACGGCATCGGGCGTGTTGATATTCAATTACGTTGATTGCGGCTGGATGTCGAACGCATTCGAGCCAGACTTATGAAGTGCTGAGCGCATAGGGGGACCAGTCTGTTGTATGACGTCATTGTATGCTTTCGTAGCTTGGCATAATACAGGCAAAACCAGGTATAAAAAAAAACAAGCCGGCGATAAATGGACTCAGGAAGAAAGGACAAAAACTAGAAACAGCAAGAAGAAATAGAAATAACAAGAGAAGTAGTAAATAGAAATAAAAAAAGACTAAAAAGAGAGAGAACAACGAAAAAAAAAAAAGAGGCAACCGAAGACAAGCGCAGAAGGCTGCCCGGCTCCACACTCTCCTCAGGCTCGGCGCCCGTAGTGGAATTGTGCCTAAATTTTTGTGGCTTTTAGTGCTCTAGTTTCTTTTCGTGTACTTTTTACAGGAGCCAATATGCTTGAAAGTTTTTATCATGATAGAATAAATAAATATATAAATAATAAATAAATCAGCTGGCAAAGCAAAGTTTACAGACGAAGTAAAAATTATAGCAGCAAGTAAAGCAGCCAAAGTATGCCGTGGCTTTTTTTTGGTGGGGGGGGGGGAAGATGTTCTTAAAAACTGTATTATAGTTACAACAAAACTGAGAACGTGTTGGCCATGAACATGGTCATCGGGGCACAGTAAAAAAATTGTCCTTAATCCCTCCATCGTTATTTTGTAAGATTGTTGGTGACATTTAGATGAGGCAGTGGTGTCCGTGCTTGAGCTCTAAGCGATTGTCCGACAGAGCATTTTCAATTAGGCGGAAAAGACGAGAACGTGTTCATAACGCTATCGCGCGACTTAATGTAGGGCGCTTAATTGCAGAGATTCATGTACCCGCCTCGTTGCGAAATTGCACTGATCGTATGCCCACAACGTCTGAAGTTCATGTAACTAGATATCAATATGGGAGCTGATATGTGGAAACACGTAGTGGGATACGCAGAAAGAACAGAGGAAGTGCTCCAGACAAGGTGGCCGACGTTTCGAGAGGAGGACCTATCTTTGTCAAAGTCGTCTATCTTTGTCGAAGAACCTATCTTTGTCTTCGACAAGGCGCCTTTGACAAAGGTAGGCCCTTCTATCGCAAGGTCGGCTAGACTGTCTGAGGCACGCCATCTGTTTTTTCCTGCATATCACTATGCAACTCATTAGAAAAAAATGACCTTATTCAGTAAATATAAGCGAGAAAAAATAAATATATTCAAAACAAAAGAGCAGTACGTATAGATTATACCACACAAAAGCAGGCACTTATAGAGCAAAAACATCGACAAATATTAGAAAAGATTAGGTCCTTTTTTTCTTATTATTAAACCGTACACTACCAAAAAACAACAAACGCAGATTCCACATTACGCAGCCTTCGTTTGGTGCTTCCCTGTATTGTTTTGTGTCGTTTACTTATGACAAGGAGTCGAGGGTATTAGCGTTCGCAGATTTTAATCTGAATGCCATCACGATTTCAGTTGAACGTCCTGACGGCGAAGCAATGACGTAGCTGTATAATTAAAGCCGGAACGCTGAATATTCAACAAACTTTGTTATGTATACATCTGTGCGCCTGAAGCAAAGCGGCTGCTATATTATGCAAATCGTGTATGAAATCCATGCGTAATAAAGAATGGAGCTTCGGGGAACTCGGGCACTTGCGAAAATGCCATTCTGCGCTCACTACAGAATCGGCTATCACTTTGTATAGACATATCTCGGTCTAACAAAAGTGGACATGGCGAATTATTTGGTTTAACGAAATAAGCAAGTAACCTTGTTTTTAATGAAGTGTTAAATGAGTACGTTCCTAACGAGGTATCGTGTTTAACGAAGTCGTCGTAATGTAATATGCGACATTCTCGTTACGAGGTCCGGCCTACACAATGGGCCGATATTGACTTCTCATTAAGAAATTTTTATGACGCTTGTATTACCTAACCTGTGCTGATGAAAGACAATGTATTTAGTATCTTACAATATGATAAATTGTGGCATGTATCATAAACTTAGTGCGAAATCTGCTACTAACCCTGAAGAGGAAGGCATGTAACAGCTGCATCTTGCCAGTGCTTATTTACGGAGCAGAAACCTGGAGGCTTACAAATAGGGTTCAGCTTAAATTGAGGACAACGCAGTGAGTGATGGAAAGTAAAATGATAGGATTAACCTTAAGAGTCAAGACAAGACCGGAGTGGGTCAGGGAACAAACCTATGGTGAAGGATACCATAGCTGAAATAAAGAAGCAAAGGACACCGGCAGGGCGCGTAGCACGTAGGCAGGATAGTCGCTGATCATTAAGGATAACTGACAGGATTCCCATAGAAGGCAAACGCATGAAGGGGAGACAGGAAGTTAGGTTGGCCATTAAAATAAAGATTTCGCAGGTATAACGTGGCGACGGAAAGCACAAGACCGAGTTGATTAGCAGGTCATGGGAGAAGTCTTTGCCCTGCAGTGGGTGTAGCCGGGCTGATGACCATGATATTTACTTCGTTGGATGCATTGGAGACAGGTCTTCAGCGAAGGTATATGCATTATTCTGGACACATTTTCTAGGAGGCTGGTTGAGGGCTG